ATTTCACGTGGCATTTACAGGTGTTTTTGACATGCGTTTCCCTCATGTACATGATCGCGTGGTATTTACCGGTGTTTGTGACATTCGTTTCCGTCATGCACATGATAGCATGTGAAGGGGGTGGGGTGGGTGGTGTGCGCTTGGGGGGTGTGACAAAATCCAGTAAAGAATCAAGAGCACATGGTTTCTATGCATGTAGTATCATGTAGTAGAATCGAGCTCACAAGATCAAACAAACATGTTCCCCGAAAACATGTATTATATGGTTTCTATAAAATCAAGAGGCCAGAGGTTACTAGCCACAATAGGACGAGAAATCCCATGATTCAGCAGCTGAAAGGGGGAAGGCCTCACCTTTCTCTAAACGTATATGTGTCTCAAACAAATCAGCTGCACCACCTTCCTCAACCTTCTCTTGTGCCTACACACACACACACCCTCTTGTCTAAAGAAGGTATGCCAAAATATTGATTTAGACTACAATGATTGTACAAATAGTTTAAAACAGCATGTGTCGATGAACATTCCGAGTCTTGCGCATCATAGCATGTGTGGGGGGGTGGGCTGGGGGGCCTTGAATCTTGCGCAGCATAGCATGTGGGGGGGGGGGGGGGGGGGGGCTGGGGGGTGTTGAATCTTGCGCCGCATAGCGTGTGGGGGGGGGGGCTGGGGAGGTTTTGACGTTCCTGTCGATGAACATTCCGAGTGTGCCAAATATGTGTCCAATTTCGCTTATAGTAGTAAAAAAGTGTTACTTTTTCCCTTTGCTGTAATCATCATTGATCAATCTCAGGCATGGTAGTATATTCTCGTTCGATACCATAAGTCAAGAGCTCGCGGCGAGTTGGGCATTGCTCAAAAACGGAAGTCAGTTAGGTGCAAAGTCTCCCCAAGTCATGTAGACGACCTGCATCGCACGCCCGTCACATCGGCCCAGGAGGTTGTCTTTGTGCAAATCAAGACATGACGTGGACATTGGAGATAGTAGGGTGGAGGCCATCGCTAGTAGATTGGAGGCCATCACTAGTCACTAGTAGGTCGGAGAAATCTTATTCCAGAAAACGCCTTCTTTCCATTGACGCCTTTCTTGACAAGATGCCTGGTGCAGAACACAACACATAGCGCAAACATAAAGAGGAGCTCTCGCTCTCTCTCTCTCTCTCTCTGTCTCTCTCTCTTTCTCTCTCTTTCTCTCGCACGATCTTGCGAGCATTGTGGTGATTCTTGTTTGCTTCTTTGTGAGGCTGACCTTTATCCGTCGGACATCTTGCTCCTTCTTTTCCGACAAGCGCAACATGCTTTTCCGACAAGCTGGTCCTCGTATTCGTATTCAAGTTGCCAAAACTATAAACATTGAGATGATGTTGCATGTTCATCATTAGATTGCCCATCTTGCACAAACTTTTGCCGAAATGTGTCGCTCTGAAGGTTTGAGCTTTGTGGGTGGGATGCTCTTGGTGAGTAAAAGTCAGTAATAAAATTGCTGGTTTGAGCCCATGCCTCTGTTCACTTATCACTTGGCTGAAAGCTCAGATTCCATGATCCTGTGCGTACAGTGCTCATCTTTCCTTCGGAGTCGATCCAGCTGGTCGCGGTGTAGACCCCGTGAGGATCCGTGAGGTACAGCACGCGCTTTTTTGTGCGCCAAGTCTCGTGTGCGAAATCACAACTTTGCCCATTAGATGAGAACGGTCCGATTAAGACCTACGTCCTTGCTGACGTTCCCCTTTGCATCTGCACAGCAATGCATTTATCAATCTCCATCAGTACCCCAAGGGACACGAGAGGGTATGGGCTGTATTACCAGCTAAGTGGAGGAAGGATCGATCCTTTCTTCAGCCATGCTCAGCCCTTTGTCCACTCCGTTGGTTTTGGGGCACAAACATGGGAGATGTGCGGTGTTTGAGGGCCGATTCCCGGTGGAGAACCCTGCAACGCCTTGGGCCACTTGGGATTCTTCTCCTCCTTCGTCGCGGCTGGCCTCAGTGGCGGAAACCCTGGTTCGAAAGGTGCTGAAGGCCATGGCCCTTTTGCTGCATGACGTTCTCGAAAAAGGTTCACGTGTCGAGTGGTGATCCTCCAGGCAAGGCACGACGTGGAGATTGATCCATTTGGGAAGCCTCATCAGGGCTTCAAACAGCAGGGCGACATCAAGTCTTGGCTTCCACAGTAGAAAAACAATCCGAGGAGGAAAGAAAGTTTGAAGAAAGGGATGGATCTTCGTCTTATTTGTGCACCCGTCGGTGTGTCAATGCTTGCGATTACCTACAGCAAAGTTCCTTCTCCAACCACAGCATCCTCACAAAGCCATCTGGGCGTGCCTACATCATTACTTGCATGATCTTGCATGTTTGGTTCCCCAGCAGAAGAAAAAATGCGTCCATGGGCACATGTCAGCATAATCCTAATTACTCGGAATGTTGAAAAGAATGAAGTTTGATTTGTTTTCCTCAAACCCTGCACCTGCTTCAGCCATCAAGAAAGAACATTGCACAATTAATCCCCAAATTCCAAAAAGGACATTTGTTTCAACAAGTGGCCCAAGATCCCGAATGGACAGGTTGATCTTCTCGTAGAATTACAGAATAGATCAGAATAGCGAAGGTAGAAGAAAACATCGACCTCTTTGCGGTATGTATGTATGTATGCATCTTGGGCCGTCTCGAAACCCAGAATGTATACTTCTGGATCACATGATGCCCATATTATATAAACCGACCGAGCAACCCGGACATAGTGGTCCACAAAGAGATGGTTGCGCAGTCTTCCACGCTGTTCAAGAACAGATTGTTTATGTTTTTCTGTCTGATCAGGGATGATACGGGTGGATTGCAATGGAGAGGCACGAAAAACATCAACAAATCTTGGTATCATCGTTTGTTGCATCGTTTGTTGTATACGTTGGTATTGCTTCCAGTCTCACGTGTCCATGATCTGCCCAGCCTGCCGACTTCGATGCCTGCACGTTGAGACAGAACGACACCAAACCTCTGAAAGCTGTGAATTCTCAGAAACTGTGTCCTTCCTCACCTCCTGTTTGGCTCGCGAGGAGTTCAGCGTGGAGTTCAGCGTGGAATTCATCGTCGAGGTCGTTCCGGTGTCACCTCGTTCGCCGCTTCGCAACCGGTGCGCAAGCCGACACCATCTTTTTGGCACCGATGAAGAGACCCTGATGATAATGATAATGAAGGAACAAAAGAAGGTCCGTAAATATAAATACAAATATACAGTAATATATATAATATAGAAACATATGAAAATATACTAAATATCTATCTATATCTATAGAGAGATATAGATCCTCTAATTGACAAATATTGACAGTTCGATGATAGTGGTGGAAGAAAATGGTTTTGAATGTTGAGTTGGTTGACCTCTCGATCGGCCCAATGATCCATTGGATTCCAATGGGTTTGGTCGATTTGTCCTTTTTGCCGGGGTCGAACTGGGGCCTTACATTGCCTTACATGGCCACGCCAACTTCGCCATTTTTTGCAGACTATGATGGTGTCTTTAATGGAAACACCACCAGCGAAAGAACCACATCCCATCGCCAAATAGCAGGGAAGTGATGTCGAGGAGCCGAAAGTCCGGGTCTGCGACTGCATCGTGTGTGGCCTGGCAGCACATGGCAACACCAGCTTGCACCCACTGCAGTGTCCACCGTTGCCCACCTTTGAATGCAGCAAGTGCTTGAAAAAAGGGAATAAGAACCGTGCCCACCCCGGCGCAGAAGGACAAACAAAAGCTTTTTGTGTGTCTAATGTCAATGTGCTGTTCTAGCCTCAGCTTATCTCAGCTTGCAACCCTTTCTGGTGATCTCTGCGGAAGCTTGGAGTCATGCACCCTCATAAAATCTATTACAATCTCATCAATCTACCATCCTCAGTCTGGAGTTTATGTAGGCTCAACCATCCCGCGGGGAATGGGGGCAACCAACCATAAAGGAAGAACCGCCAAAGGGTTCAGGTACCAAAATCACAAGTCCAATCAACCAAGCACACCCAGAGTGACCTTTTGAAAAGCGCTTCGACATCTTCGACCCTGGTGATGTCGAAGCTGGCCCCACATGGCCCCACCTTCGGGGTAGGTTCGCAGGGCGAGGGCCCTGCGCGCCGGTGGTGGATCGAAACTGACCTCGTTGAGATCTGTTCATTTCTTAAATTACTAGCTTCTTGTTACTACTAGTAAGGCACTTGTTACTACTAGCGT